AAATTTTAGTACAAATGAATGTTTCCTTCATGGGATATTAAAGTTCCTAAAATTCACTTATATTTCACGAAAGATGCTACAATTTTCAGGACATTCTACTGATGAATAGGTCTGTCTTTGAGTAAAATTTCAGATCAAAATGCCGTTAAATGATTTGTTAGTATATATGATTCCATTGGCTAAAATTCAAAAAAAAATGCCTTAACTCTGAACAGAAGGCCAAAGAGGAATTATCGTTTTGAGATTTTTTATATCCCATTGAGGTCTACTTTATGCACAGACTCCGAACTCAAAAGCGATCAATCAGTTGGCCACGTTTCCTTGTTAGAACTGAACAGAGTTTATGATCATATTGCTGGCAATTTTAAAAGTTCGTTAATATTAAAATGTTTGTTGCATCGATAAATAGTAAAATGCTTTACTAGTATGATGATATATGTTATAAATCTATTTTCTGCGTAGTTAATCCAATATCAATTTTTAAAAAAATTGAAAAACGCAAACTCATGTCATGATAACCACCTAAGTTCGGATGATTAATCTCAATTCATCGACGATTTTAGATACATATTTTTTATTCACAGATATTAAAGTAACTATTTTTGAAGAAGAATGACTGTAAAACTATTTTTAGAATTAGGTAGTTTATTATATCCTAAAGGCTCGTACTAAATATGTATTAGTGGATTCATATCAATCAACACAAAATAAAAGAAGACACGTGTTAACTTGTTGTACACGGGAATCATATCAGTTTACTGCGGCAAGTGTTCAAAACTGTACAGTATGATGTTACATGTAAAATATGAATTTCTTGTCTACAAAAGTATAGAAAAGGAAGTACCTATGTCATCAATTTTTAGAGAAAATCTCGATTATTTAAATACTATTTCCGATGATTTGAGCTTCTTGTAGTATATGAATCTACAACTATGATTATGTCTTAACGTGCGCATGAAGATAGAAAAGACGTCAGTGATAATTACCAATCTGGTCTTTCAGTTTCCGAGTTTACAAATGTAAGTATGAAACTGATACAACAAGTTATCATCAATGATCCCCATTTAATTTCTGACAATATCATAGCGAGAACTGGAATAAATTATCTACAAGTGTCTAAAAAGATAAGTAAAGTTACATCTCATTATATAGCTCATCATCCTAAAAATGAACAAAACCAAGGACGAGTTAAGAATTTATCTTGAAAGTTTGGTGAAATTTTCTCATAGATAATGCAAATTATGCAATTATATTATAGATGATTATATATAATTAGATTTATCATAGACGGCTTCGATGCAAGTCCATCCACTAATATTAACTACATTAGTAAATATCAATCGTCGATGACTATTATTCACCGAAATAGGTTTAAACGAAAAACTTAATTATGCCTAGCCTTTAAATCAAATAGTTCTATTCTTATACTTAGTGTAGATATAGACAAGACTATAGATCACAAATATTATATTGAAAATTACTTTAAACCTATTGTAAGTCACATATGAAAGCAAAGAAAGTCGTCAGGTACACAAAAATGTAGAACTATCTCATCATAGTTCTAGAACTCATGCTTATTCAGACATAATAAATTATTTAACACCTGAAGACATCAATGTAATAGTGTATCTACGGCTATAACTCGACCTTGTGTCATTCAATTCTTCCCTACATGTTTATATCAAGCATAATTTGCAATGTTGAAATAAATGAAAAATCATTAGTCCGTGCTTTTTCAAACACACTCGAATGTATTCCAGAAGAAGGATTTAACAAATGTTTGACAAATGATGTGAGTAGGTATTTTGCTATTTGAGAGTGGGTGACAATGTGGAACAAAATAAGAATATCACCCACTTACATCCACACCATTTAAGAAGACTCTTTTTTGATTATTATAGGAATGTTTTTTTTTCCAAGTGTTATGGTGTAATAAACTGGCACAATTGAATTCATAGATATAACAAAAATTTCAGGCGATTTCTTATGTGTATGAAGGTCCGAAGTCTTCATAGTAGTGATCTTTAGCTGATGCAAGATACAATATAGTTGTCAGAACATACTAACATGGAATGCGAAAAACTTCAAAGATCACGTGAATTATGTTGACGTTTTTATTAGTTGATATCATGAAATTAGGGAACAATGTTTTATTACGAAGCGTTGCCATTTGAATCATACGATCAGTAAACGGCTGTTTACGGTTAATTTATGATACAAAAATAGATCGTATTCCATCAATAATACAGCCGTTCCATAATCAGATTACAGCTCATATACGGCCGCATTTTTAACAAATACAATATCGTCTACGGTGTCTTATTACTGTCCGCAGAACTAATACGAGAAAATGCAGTCCGTTTATGCGTCATACTGAGCTGCGAATAGTCGTATACGGCAAAATTATGATGACAACTCAGATAGGCATATCAATCGACATGACTTGCAATTTGTTTAAGATAACGTTACCTAGTTTTCTCATATCAATCCATTACCAAAATAAATTTTCAACACTGTTGAATATCAATAGCGATACTCAACTGTTAATTAAATTCGAGATATAAAAAATAAACAATTATTATATGGTTATAGAAGAATATATAGTTCGATAGAATTGTTATGATAAATAGATGTCGCCTATCAACGAATGCCACCTCCGTAACTTAAAAGTGAAATATAACATGTATATTTCCTTATCTTGATATAGATGATAATTGAGATTATTTTGAACAAATTAGTTAATAGCTTTTTATGAAATACAGATTTATATGAATGATTTTTTAATAATTAATCAAGCCAATCCAAATGTGTTTTCTTCGCGAGAGAATGACAGCAAAAGAAAGAGAGGAAAAAAAAGAGATAAACACAATAAATAATAACTATAATTAGATGTCAGAACGACATCAATGTAATATTCATTATATTCCTATGGACATTACTGGCAGAAAAAAAATATGTTGCTCAAATTTTTGTTAATCTTGACAAATAAAATAAAAGAAGATGGGTAATATATTAACATCAATACCCAATACTGTTTCATTACCAATATTCGGGGTCGGTTTGACCACATTATGTTTAAGTCTATGTTTTTGTTGTTATTTATGGCGGTAAGTATTCTTATATTGAAAACGAAAATTATATTAATTTGTTTTACGAAATTCTAGACTGAGACGAGACACATTTCGCGAAAAAGGCTATCGAAAAGATCAATATTTGCGATGTAAAGTAAAAAATTCCGTAAGTTTTCTTTTATTTTTTATAAGTCTTTCGACTTTTTTAAAACATGAACAACAAAGAAAATTTCCCGTTTCATATAGAGTTGTGTCATTTGTTTTGATGATTTTTATCAAGATGAAGAAATAGCTGTATGTCCATGTGAACATGCATTTCATAAACGTTGTTTATCACCATGGTTACAACGAAATTGTACATGTCCAATGTGTAATATGTGTATCAAACCGGAAATATCTGGTTCATGTCAAGTAGCGGATATGCTTTAGATAGACTAAAACTTGAATCTCTATTATTTACTTCTTTGTTTTTTTCATTACACTCATTTAGTTATATTGAAAAAAGAAAAACAAAACAAAATAAGTCATTGAATACATCGGTTTAGAATTATATAGGTGTAGATATTAAAAGTCTTTTTGTTTAATAACGTAATTGAATTGATATTTTTTTTTTCTTCTTTGTTGCTATTGTATTGAAGTTTCTTTGTTTTTTAAAGAACAGTATGTTTAATTCCTCACACGTACTCTCTCTCTCTCTCTCTCTCTCTCTCTCTCTCTCTCTCTCTCTCTCTCTCTCTTTCTCATATGGTACGCCTTATTTGTATATAAAATCTATTATTTTATGGAAATATAATGCTCAAAATATTTCTCTCAATTAGAAGTTCAAAGATTTTTTTATCGACGAGAGTAATAAAAAAAACAACTCTGTAATGGTGTCGGATTCGGTTGAGATACGAGCAAGAGTTTATTCAATATTTAGACTAAAAATGAATTTGTCTTTCAAAAATTATATTTAATAATTTAAAATTATGATTAATTGGTGTAAAAATAAATTATTATTTTAGTTGGTTATCGGGCATTTAAAATATTTTATTAGTATTAAATGTGTATCATAAGTTGTATGATATAGATTTGTATGAATCAAAATACTCCTACTGATTGTAAAACAAAAATTTCATGTCAAACATCAATTTAATTCTTTTTGAATTAAATAAATGTATTAATACAGATTTGTCAAACGATTGATCTAAACAATAAGATTATTCTACAAGATGCAAATCTTCATCTCATTTTACTATTATCTATAGTACATTAAGAAAAAAGTACACAATGACCTTAATAGTGTCTTTCTCTTCCTCTTAATGATAGTAGAAAACTAAGTCAATCATTCTATATTAAAAACTGAAGTCATTTTATGGTCAAAAACGTCTCTTTATTTATAAATAATTGAGCACTTCACTTTGTTTATTCATCTTTTTGTCTTGAATAGTAATTTTATTTGAATAGAAAATTTCCTGTTTGATTGACAGAAGTAACTAATCCTAGTACGTTTGATCTGACATTAAGTACAAACAACGATTCTTGTCAATGCTAGTAATTGTTTTAAGAATTTTTCGCTAAGCATTAACAATGAACATCACAATATCAAGTAAAGAGTTAGTGTTGTTGAAGTTATTTTGATTATTTAACTATTGAATAGAACAATTTAATTAAACGATAACTGTTTTGTTTCTTTATTTCATCGAATGTGCTTTTTCAAAAAAACAAAAAAGAAGAAAAAAAAGAAAAGAAGGAGAGAACAAAAAAACAGATTAAACCAATGGTCAAGCACATTTCAAGGCTACAAAACAAACTCATTCCAATTCACAATATAATTTCTTTATCTTTATTTTTATAAGAATAAGTAAATTGATCATTTATACAAATGAGAGCAAAAAAAAAAAAAGCACAATATTGGACGAAAGATAAAAGAAACAAGAATAATTAATTTTATATAGGACTCTTTTTAAGATTAAGCCGTTTATGTCTATGAAAAGATATTTTAGCACCATTAGCATGTGGATCATTCATGAATGTTCTCATGTACGATCGATGTATTTCACGTAATTCATCACGTAGACGCATACGGATTTTGGCATCATTTGCTAAATGTTGACTTAAATGATTTGCAATAAGTGGACGAACTTGGTTTTCACTCGGACGATGATCAAACGATGTACGAGATTTATCGCGAAGAAATTCACACAATGCTGGATAACGAGAAATTTGAAGTAAATAAGATTTTGCATTCTTATTTTTTTTTGCTTTTTTTCGTATTATATCTTGTAAAGTTAATGGTAAACGAGCCATGCCGTCATCGTCATCTTCACCTTCATTTTCATTTTCATTTTCGTGTTCAGCTTCATTTTCATTTTCATTTTCGTGTTCAGCTTCATTTTCATTTTCATTTTCATTATTATCAACTACAGAAAAAAACCAACAAAAGAAAACATGAAATTATCAATATAGTTTAATGATTTTCTTTTAAGAAAATAATATTTAGATTATTTAATAATTTTTAAGAAAGTTATTAACTGTTATTCAAAAGAATAAATTTTATATTTAAATTTATTTGAAGTCAAAAATAACATAATTAAATATTAAAATTCATATTAAATTCATTGTCAAAGTTAAGAATTTATTCAATTTATGTTTATGATTGTTTTGTGAATATATTCTAATAATTACTCATAGATGCAAATGAAAATATTGTGTTGAATCACTCACCGCGAAAAATGAGGCATGGAAGATCTAGAAATATCATAATTATGTATGTTTTGAGTGGCATGTCATGGCATGACAGAGAAACATGTTTTTAAAAGAGAGAGAATTTTGAAGAGGAAAAAAATCTTCATTCATAGGCAAAAAAGAAGTAGTGAACTGAAAAATTTATAAAAGCTTGTTGTTTCCTTTGACCTTCTTCATCAATCTAATACGACAGTTATTTATATATAAACTGGAATTTAACATCTACGACATTTGCACATGATTACATGGAACTTATTGACTTCAATATCATTGTTTGTCTTTGAAATAATGTGAAAACTTATCGTAATTGATATAGAGTATGCATTTTTCTATAGAGAAAATCTACTCGACTTTTTCTTTTCAACGTTTATTTTGTTGTAGAAGTTCAAAAAGGTGCTTTTTAGATCGAGCGTGAAAAACTGCATTTAGAAACATGGATGAATTTATGTTTATCAATACAGTTTTGCATGCACTATCTCAAAATCATCTTGTCGAGATTTTGCGATAAAAGAACCATTCGAAAAAAAAATAATTAATTGTATTTAAAAAGCAAGGTTTGCATATTTCTTTAATAGACGTCTATTTATAAAACTCAACGTGTTCTATCATATCCTGTCAAAAAAAATGACATGAGTTAATCAGTATGAAAATTTAGCAGTATGTCATGCTTTTTTTCTAGTTCATGCTGAGTATAAATATTTGAAGAATGCAAATATTAGGTTTCAAATACGATTCAGCTTTGATAAATATGCTAGACTAGAATTTTTTATGAGCCAAGCTTATGTTTCGAAATAGATATGTTACAAAGATTAGGAAGAAAATAGAACATTAAATATTCTATTCATCAAATACAGTTTCTATTACATTTTCATTCATAATTTTTTGTTAATAGATTCATAAGGAGCGATTTAAATCAAATAATTTATGGTTGACTAGTTTCTAATATTGATTGGAAAAAAACGGTCATGCATATGCAAGTGATTAATTTTTAAAAAGACCTTCATGCTTGTTAACCATATTTATTATGCTAGACTTTAATCAACATACAAAACTTACGAACAAACATTCCTAAACGTCAATTCACTCTTGTATTGAAACTAGAAATGTGTAGGACTAAGTTTTATTTGGTTCCAGTTTCACACATATTATAATCGAGACTAGGTGCATTATGTAGATTCTAATGAATTATGAATATAGTAGAAAGGGCATCAGACTAATAAATTGTTCCAGAAAAGGTTTCGAATTTTGTCTTGAAGTTTTATTTACATAAATATTTCGGCTAGAATAATATTTGTGTCAGGATTAAAGAGAAGTGGTTGTAAGCTCAATCATTCCACAACGACAACAGTTAACGATCAAATCTATCATCTTCTCAAAACAATTTAAATAAATGTATGAACAACAACCTTCCATTTCAAGGAAAATTTACTAAAAGGTTCTATAAAATCCTAATAATTTGGCAAAATAGATACGTGATTTTGTTTGCTCAACATTAAGATATTAGCAGATAATTATCTGAATCGTGCTTTAAAGTATAGATCTGAAGTCAATGTCGAATTGAAAGCTACATAAAATATTAGCTTACGTAAACCATTTCAGAGTTTTCGGATAAAGTCTTTTCGAGATATGAAGCTTCTAATGCAAAGCGGAAGATTGAAGTCTTCGTTGCTTCTCCCTCTTTTTAAGTTACAGATTCTTTTCCGTAGATATTAAATATTACATGCATTATTTAAAAGCTTCATATCTCGGAGAAGGTATTCGTAATTCATTCGGATCTATATGATGCATACAGTATGGATAAAAAAGCATATTGACATCTGGAGATTTTCTTTTGTCAGTTACTTTTACCAAACCAAATAAGACAATCTAGATTACCTTTGTGCTGGTAAAATACATATTTGTTTTGATAAGAAAAGAACATACAACTTAATCGATTGTGTTTTATTGAATTTCTAATATAAAAGTATTACCTTGTTCTTCAACTTCATGTTCAGATTGATTATCATCTTTTGTTGTTTCATTTTCATTTTGATTTGTAGTCATAGATATTTCTTCTGCATTATCATCATCATCATTATCATTATCACCATCATTATTATCACTGTTGTCATTATTAGTATCACGAGTGTTTTCTAATAAAAAAAAACGTGTGTATGTGTATGTTTTTTTGCTTAAGTTATCTTTTAAACTTACTAGTAAATCGACTATCATTAGCATCAAAAACTTGTGTATCTTCAATATCAGCTATAATAAAAGCTAAAGAATAAATTTTGAAAAAAATAACAAAAAACTTAAAAATTGAACCACACTAACGATTTTTCTTTCTGCTTCGTGTTATTATGGAATGTGCTGTTGGAGATGATGAAGAAGATTTTTCCTTGTGTTTATATTCTTGATCTTGCTCATCTATCATAGAATTCTCACTATCATCATCAGACTCGTCATCATCATCATCATCAGCTTGCTCTTCTTCTTGCATTTCTTCATTCGATGGAATAGTACATTTACAACCTGGACAATGATGACGGTTGAGTTGTTGTTTTAATTTTTTATTTACTTGTTGTAATTGTTTATATTTTTGATAAACTTTATTAGAGTATGTGTCATTTACGTCATTATAAGCATTGATTATTTCATCAGTTAATTCATAAAGCTCTTCAATACGTTTTCGAGCTTTTGTATCAATGGCTCTTGAAGCTAAGAAAAAAAGAAACAGAAATGCATATGCATATATTTAATAAGAAATATTTGTTTAACACCTGAATCAGACATCGGAGACAGTCTTTTTGTACTCGTACGTTTTCCCATCGCGTTGTCGGAACTGAATGAATATAAAACAACACACAACGACCTTCCGAGTTCTATTTTGATTACTAGATGTCACTGTTAGTATTATTTTAAATTGAATTTATTTATTTAAAAATACGACAAAAATGTAAAAAAATTAAATTTTTAATAAATTATAATAAATTTCTTATGGACCGTTATGTTGATATGACAACGATATGATCTATGAAATGATAGGATAGCGCCGCTTTTTAATAGGTTTCTTTCTTTTATATAAACCGCAACATGAAGTATCAAGTAGGAATATAAAACTAAAAAAAAAACTTTTAGAAAATTTTTAATCACGAAATTTAGACTGAATACCAAAGAAATTATCAAAATCGTTCACCAAAAAAATTTAATGAACTTTCAGCTGAAGAACGAAAACTAAGCGAAGGTCTTTCGATTTTTTTGTTTCGTGTGTTTATTAATTTATTTTCTTTTGTTCAGTACCAATCAAACGTTCATTATCATCACCATCTCGTCGTCGTCGATTATCACCAAATCGTTATTATAATGATGATAATGATTTTGTTGTTATTGGACCAAATGAAAAATTTTCTCAGTCATCGCTTTATCGATTGAAACAGCCATTTAAAAATTATCCTCGTGTTGCTAAATCACAAGAATATGTCGTTTTAGGAAGAAATGAAAAATTTGAAGATAATGTTATTTATCGATTAAGAAATCCTATTATAAGAGATTCACCTAGAGTAAGAGATCTTCATTCTAATATAAAATAAATATTGTTTAACCATTTATGGGGTTGGTGTGGGTGTGGATGAAGAGAAGACTCAGACCAACATCCACATCTATTTGTGGAATTCACAAACTCTAATTATTATAAATTAATGGCATATTCTCAGAAAGAATTGCCAAATGAATAAATAAATCAAGATTATAAGAAATTTTATCATATTGAAAGAAAACTTCTTTGTATTGACAGATACATCTTCAATGCATAAGTTATTTTCTCTTCATGATAATAATTATGAAAAATGTCGTAGGAAGCGACAAATATCATTTTATTCTTCGATTGGTCAGTTTAATCACCATATTAGCCTGGCATACACCTTGATTTAATATCCAAGTACATCATCCTTTCTTTCGACGAACTTTAATATATACTCTTGAGTTTTGCCTTAAATTAGAATTTAATTAGTTCATACTTTTCTTACTCTGCTAGATCAATAGTACTATCGCTCTATTGATTGAGACCTACAATAAAGTCCCTTCGCTGCATTAAATAGCAGAATCTGCAATATTTAGACTAGTTCGAATCTAAAGTATAATTCCAGAGTAACCTAAGTTCTGTTATTACTAACTCGCCATTTCTCGTTGCTAGGTTTTTTAAACAAAATATTCTTTACCATCAGCTAATAGGACTTGCTGTGTGCTATAGCTTGACAGAGAACAATCAAAAATACAGTTCATGTATCCATTATTTCAAAATTAGCTGTTATGTACACACTACTTCCTTTCTTTTATTACTTCAATACAATAGGATATAAGCTGCTTTCACTCACTTAATGTTGTCATGAAAGAAAAAAAATCAGGGCTTCTTATGTCGTTCAATCCTTATTATGCCACAAGCGAGACATCAAATAGATTTGACAACACTATTAATATATTCGAGAGACTAATACTCTATTTATAATATTATTTTATCAATTGCTCTTCTGGAACCGCTATGAAAACTAAAGGCTTAACAAATTTGCTTGCTTGAGATTCCCGATGAGAAAAAAGCAGGTTCTTAGCAAAATATTTTGACTATTGTCTGCCAGCGAGTTTTGCCTAATAAAGTCGGAAAGTGGTTTCTTTGCAGTTACTTTTTGCAAAGAAAATCATTTTTGAACTATCTACGAAACTTTAGTTGTTCTTCTCTCTGAAAAAAAACGAATTGCTTCAAATTAATATTTTGCGAAATAATATATAACATAACTTGTATCTTCTAATTTTATTTCTAATTAGTTGGTTGCGTATCAGATAAAGTTTAGTAGTTCTATAGGTTTTAAAATGATAAACATAACCATAAATTTGTAATGTTGATTGATTTATATATTTAAAATTCTTTCAGAGAGATGTCATACCGAACGTAAAACATCCATTGTGTGCTTTAGTATACCCCAGATAAAAATTTGCAAATCTCTGAACAGCTTAGATTTACTATTAATCCTTTATCGTACATAACGATTCCAGAGGAGCCACTGATGAAACAATTACTGGAATAGAGAACAGATGTTCCTTATATGTCAATAGTATGGATAGATTGATCAGGCCTACTCTCGTTTGTCACTCTGGAGACCATTAGAAGGAGGGGAAAACGACTTTAACCAAAAATGACATTGTAAAGAGCTATGGGACGTATCATTTTATAGAGAATTATTCACTTTATCATTACATTTAATGGAAGCCAATCTTATGGCTAATTTATAAGTGCCGAAAAACTAGTGCTTTTATGAAACTCTTGAGTGATATTGATTAGGAATACATTTTATTTCAATAAATTCAACTTTTTTGGTTTTTCCAAGCTTATCAATTTTGTAACTAAGTTTTTTTCAAATATGAAGTAGCATTCAAAGTTTTTCAATTCCAGGTTTCATTTATTGTCTGCAATTGCTCTACAAATGATCACTCACGTGACCAAGGAGGTAAACGGTTAAACCTTCTCAAAAATTGTGAGTCAAAAATAGGTCATTTGGCAACTGAAAATTCTCTGTGTGCCTTCATTCTATATATTTAATTTTTTTTTTTGAATGAGCATGTCAAGATGCAGAGCATGACAGAGTCATCATAATATTATTCGTACTTTTTTGACGAGAGAAGACTTCACTGTCTCGAGAAGCTCTCAAAAAATGGCACCTTTATTATAAAAGTACTCTTTTATATCGCAATAATAAAGCTTAGTTCAAAAATAAACGGTGTCATGCCTTGCATTTTTGACATACTCTCCCAAAAAAAAAGAGTTAAAATATATAGAATGAAGGCACAGAAAATTCTAGGTTGCACGATTAAAAAGTGAGAAAAAGCACATATCAAATCTCCAGTAATATTGCCATGCATTTATCTTAATTTTCATTTTTCTTGAAGAAGGGGGTTTAAATAATATTTTGTTGAGCTGCAATGAATGTTAATTTATTTATACTTGATTTTCAAAGTCATCAGTATAAAGCTGAATATATAAATTCCTTGTATATTTGCAGGAACTATATATTATATAATTAAATGTTTTAATTTGATAATAAATGAATTGAAGATGAAATTTTATATTAAGAAAAGATTTTATGCACTCTTAAAAATAGGTTGTAATACGACGACGTAAAAATGAACATCATTCATGCGGTATTCAAACTGTATGTGAGAATAGAAAATTAAATATTATTCGTATGATGATAATTTTTTATATTTAGGAACTTGATAAAGCAGCTGATATTTCCTATGATCCTCGACATAGAGTAAATTTTATTTTATTTATTTGCAATCGAGAACTTTTGTTTTTCTTTTCATTTCATATAAAAGAAACGAATTGAACCACGAAGTGAATATAAACATAAATATAATTGGAAACAACCACCAAATGTCTTAATTAATGATCAAAAACATATTGAAAATTCTCCATCGGTTAGAAGACTTTGTTCTTTTCTTAATTTATGTTTTGAAAATAATATTTTCAGCGTGATCGACGTTCGCATTTCATTGAACCATCATCTATTGTTAATCCTTCGGAAAAAATTTCTAAAGGTGTCAACACACCATCACGTTTAGAAACCGACATTCATGCAAATAAACGACAAGCAAAACGAACTGCTATTGATTCAACAAAATCATTTCGTCCAAAAAGAGATAAAACAAATGAATATCGAACATATCACAGACGAATTATTGATCCAAAACAACGAAAAGCATTTGAAGCTGAAGAAGTTGACGAACGAGTAAAATTTTTTACTCAGTTTAGGCATGCATTGCATCTGAATATTCGAGCTCGATGTCGAATCACGTCATTTTCTGTTGACTATAGTAGATATTCACACAGTGGGATAAATGATCGGACAACCAAATGATATTTTTCACTTTCGTTTCCAGATATATAGGATTCTACAAGCCAAATTTCTAGTTTTAGGTTGAAACGTTTACTTATTTTTCTCATGAGAGAAAATGGAAAGTGATACTTCCTAAAAAAGCTCAAGTAATCTAAAGTTTCTCCAAAAAAAAAAATATTTTCAGCCCAATCAGGCAAAATTTGATGGAAATTATAATACATCAGGATGTGGCTCGATAAAAAACGAAGGTTTTTCCGTAAAAATGTCCTTGAATTTTTTTTTCTTAGAATACGTGTGCGCTTAGTTTAGATGCTCTATCTGTAGTAAAAATTGCCATATGATTAGACGATGCGCTCTAGTCGGAAGACATCTTAAAAAAATTCAACAATATTCAGAAATATTTGAAGCTTGGTGAGCTCTCATGATTGTCCATATAGCTTAAGAAACACTTTGACGACTACTAGATATTGTCTGAACTGGTTGGATTGTTTTTGAACATCGAGCCACAGTTCGGATTCAGTACATGCCTAATTCAATTCGTATTTATGTATGTTTGTATTTGATACATTTAGAAACGAAGAAACTTTGTAAAAGTTGATCATGCTTATACAGATGATGAAGAGATTGGTAGAAATATTGATTTAGGAGATGAATTTCGACAAAAATATCCACATGGAAAATTAAGGTTTTGAAAATGTTTAAATTTTCAATTTCATATTCGCTTTTTTTTTATTAGACGTTGGAAATCCGAATATCAAGCAACATATAAACCATTCTGGCGTTTTGATTATAAGGATGGTAAATGGTATAAAGATACAGCAGCAGTAAATCAATTATTTTTTTTTAATTTTATTTTCATTTCAATCGTTCATGTTTTGTCATTGTGTTTATTTAGGATGAAACAGGTTTTAATCCGAATTTATTTTGGTATAAAGAATTAAT